AACTCACAATCCTAGCAGTATCATCCATCTAACTCCATAGCCTAGCAATTTCAGAGGCCACAAGTGTAGAGTCAATTCTAGCATATGTACCCTAGGAACCAACTGGCCCAACCGTATCCAACTTACCCATAATCTCCTCAGGCCCGTACAGTGGATGACCAATTCATGCAGCTTCACCAGATGATACTAACTCAACAACAGTCCATTGCTAGATTAGAGAGCCAAATAAGATAGCTAGCCAAAGCCAATGCGAGGATAGAAGTAGAGCAAATACCGAGTCAACCAGTTGCAAATCCTAGAAATTAGCCATCGAGTTTTTCTCCAAAACAAATTCAACCACCTCCTAAGAACCCTCAGTTTGAAAATGCCAAAGCCGTTACAACCTTAAGGAGTGGGAGGATTTTAGAAGATCCCTATGAGAAAAAGAAAGTCAATGAAGAAGAAAAGGAGTAAGAAGGCCTTAAGTTGGGGGGGGGGGAAGAAGAAGGAAAGGAGTAAGAAGACCTTAAGAAGGTCCATATTAACATCCCTCTCCTCGATGCGATCCAACATGTCCCGGCCTACGCCAAGTTTCTGAAAGAGCTTTGTACTCGATGCGATCCAACAAGACTCCTCGAGGTGTTATTGAGGATGTCATTGTCAGGATAAAGGATTGTTACTTCCTATTAGATTTTGTATTCTTAGAAATGACCCTAACAGAGGAATTGAACCATAATCTAATGACCCCAACGTAGTTTTCATGTGCTTTTAGGATTGGAGTTTTTTTTTTCTTGATTCGAGACTATTTGGCAGCCCCTAAACCCCTTGGGAAAACCCTCTTGATTGTTCCCTTTGGCCCAAGTCCCATTGCATCAGTCTAGTCATGCCATTGAGGACAATGGCACTTAAGTTGGGGGTTAGGAAAGAGAAATTGAAAAAGAAAATTGAAGCTAAGCTTTTAGAAATGCAGAACTAAAAATTTAAAAATTCTTTCCATTAAAAGAAATTCCCAAATAGAAAAAGTGGAGGAAACTGATATAAGAATATTGAATTTTGTAGAAATTGGTAACAAGTGATAGGAGTCAAAATTAATCTTATTTGAACATTGTCGAAACCGTTTAGAAATTGGAAAATACTCCCAAGTTTGCCCCTATAAAGATAAGAAGAGAAAGATTGAGAAATTAGACAGAAATTCTTCAAATTATTAGAGACAATGGACTACCCTGAACAGTGTTTAAAAAAAAAAGAATAAAAGGTCAATGGACACCCTAGATTTAGTAACCAGGCCTCTTCACCTAAGTTAAGTGTCGAGATTCGCATCAAACAGAAAAGGGAATGCCAAAGACAATCACCTAACACTTAGTAACCGGGTCTCTTCACCCAAGACAAGTGTCAAGATTCGCATCAAATAGTGGAAGGTAGCAATAAAAATAAGTGTGCATATCAAGTTCAAGGGTAGAAATCCATAGTTAGAAATGATAAGAAGAATACCCGCCTGATTTTAAAAATCAATCTCAGCTTATCGAGACAGTCTGCAAATGGAAGGGTATATAAGATTTTTAAGCCAAGTTTTTGTAATGTTCAAAGAAAGACAGTTTTACCCCTTAAGCCCAACACTAATCTATACAAAGTTTGAGAACTCTGAAATCAGGATACTTGGCTAATTTTGTCAAGGATGATCTTGCAATGGGAATGATTTCTTTACTTAGTGTAATTTTAAAGCTGCATTGCTAAGGGACTAGCAATGGTTAATTTGGGGTGTGATAAATCTATAGTTTGATGCCTTAAGGGCATCATTTAAGGGGTATTTTAGGCCTTGGAATAGTCAAAATATCCCCTTTTCCCAGTTAAATTCAATATTGTGACATCTGAGGGTTTCTGTGAAAATCTTGGGGAAAACTAGGGAAATTTCAAGGCTGATATGCAGCTTTTGGGAAACTAGTGTGAAGTCCAGTAAAGAGAGGGGGTGTTTTTGTGAAAAATTGAGCACAAGAGGTCGCCTCCTATCTGCTAAACCCAGAATGGCACCCCTCCTACTATATTAGCATACTCCCCTCTCCCTAGAAAACCCTAGGGCGCCTCTCCTCTCATTCTTTTCATCTCTAACAAACCCTAGCCACCCCTAACTGCAAATCCTCACCTTCCATCCCTTCTAATCTCCACAATTCGTTCTAGGGCACTCTCGTTTTAGCATTCTAACCCTAGGGTGCCACCTAACTTCTAATCCTCACCATTCAGCCTTTAGCCACTAGATCTCAGCCCTCTATTCCACTCCTTATCACAGCCATTCACTTTAGGGTGCCACCCATTCCTTTTAATTTCCACCTTTCAGCCCTATGCGCCCAAATCTCCACCATCCTATTTTGGGTGCCCAAATCTCAGCCCTAAAAAATATTGGGTGCCCTCTCCTTCTTTTCCCAGCCTTAGGATCACCATAGAACCATCCTAACCCTTCATTCTAAACCCTAGGGCACCCATATTTTTGCTAAAACCCTGTTATCGCCCCTCTCTTTCTCTCTAATCCCAACTTTATCCACCATTCTCTATAAAAAGGACCCAAGGGCTCCTAAGAAGGGGTTGGATTTTGTTCCCAAGTAAGACGAAAGGCTGATCTTGAGAAGTTCAAGGGTAGAGGAAGAGGAGAACGCCCAAGCAAGAGGGGTTCCTGCTTGCAGTTCACTTAGCCACTACTGCCACCTTTGGATTCGGATCCCAACCAGTTTACTTTCATTTTTTATTTAATTTCCATTTCTTATTTTTCCTTTCTATAATTTACTTTTGTCTAGTTTAATTTTTGTTTTCTTTTTTGCAGATCAGGGATTCGGCCAGGTAAGACGGAAGGCCTAGCTCAAGGAGTTTGAGGGTGAAAGGAGAGATCCGGAGACTGCTACCTTTGACCGAGTTGCATTCTTTTCATTTAGTTCCTTTTATTTATTTATTTCTATTATTTATTTATTTTTTCTGTACTTTTCACTTTAAGCATTGTTAGAATCTTATTTTAAGGGATTCCAGTTTAATTAATCAAAGTTTTGTGTTTCTACAACTTCCCGTTGTGTTATTTTGTCCGGATTAAAGTACGTAGTGATTTTTCACTCGCTTCCCTATGGATACGACCCCTTTCTCACCACTAATTTCATTTGTAGTTATTTTGAGAATCAGAGAAATTATAAATATTAAAACTGGTGTTCCAAAGTGGTTAATGACATGCTTCTGGCTACACCACTAGGGCACCAACCATGTCACCGCCCATGGAAGGGTGCGAGTTCAGGATATACATTGCAGCAGGCTCAAAGGCCATTGGATATTTATTAGCACAAGAAGATGGTGGAGTGGAATTTCCCATATACTATGCTAGTAGGACCCTTAGGCCAGCTGAGAAGAATTATTCCCATATGGAGAAGCAGTGTTTAGCACTGGTCTTTGCCATGCAATAATTCAGGTACTACATCCTTGGTAAAAAAGTAAGACTCATCGCACGGAATGACCCAATTAAGTTCTTCATAGACAGACTTCCCCTCTCCAGCAGACTTGTCAAGTGGATGATGTAGCTCAGCGAGTATATGATAGAATACACCTAGCCCAGGGCCATTAAGTGCTAAGCAGCAGCAAACTTGTTGGCCGCCTTTCCCTCAAGTGCTGATTTTCCTATATCAGAAGAAATACCTGGAGACATACCCATGATTGTAGTGGTTGAAAGTAGAGAATGGGTCCTGACCTTCGATGGAAGTAGCACAAGAACCTCCGTCCACCAACTCTTTCAAGCTCCAGTTCCCCTATTCTCACAACATAGTAGAATATGAAGCCATAGTCCTAGGTCTGGTCAAAGCAATAGAGCCCAGCTCAACGGAAGAACAATAGTGAAGGAATTGACTATTTTTCCATATAGAACTTTGATCCAGGGGCTAGTCCACAACCTGGAGGTAGACTTCAAGCACAAAAATAGAGCAAAAAATAGGTTCACCAATGCACTAACCACCTTAGGATCTAAAATACAGTTCAGCAAGGAGAAAATAAAATTACCATCCAGTCATTCGACAAGCAATCAACCATCACAATGAAAGATTGGGTAGAAAATGAGGATGAAATAACCATAGACGACTAGAGGACCGCAAACTGCTCACAAAATTTCAACTAGTGAATAGGGTATTATACCATAGACAGTTGGACGAAGTGAGAACAAGATGCCTAGGAAAGGATGAGGCAGGAGTAGTGTTGAGTGAGACACATAGAGCCCATTGTAGGGATATTGCAAACACCCTATAAAAGAAACTACAAAGGCCAGGATACTACTGGCCTACAATGAAGTCAGAATCTACTAAGGTATAGCGTGAATGTAATAGATGCATTTCGCAAGTAGATGGGAAAGAGTGCCTCATGATATATGAAGAAGATTGGAGGAGGATGTACATAAGCTAGCTAGAAGAAAGTATGTTGCCCATAGACCCAACATTAAGAAGAAAGCTCCTATCTAATGCTAGGTGGTCCTACCTCCAAGAAGGAATCTTATACAGGATGTCACACATAGGGAAACCCTTGTGATGCCTGGCTAGCGATGAGATCAAAGAAATACTAGGGGCAACCCATAGCTTCGAACCCACCACTCACCAAGGATAGTTAGCACTGTATAACCACATCTTGCACTTAGGCTTCTATTGGTCCACCATGATGGAGCACCTAGAAACATGTGCACAAATGCCATAAGTGCCAGATACAAGCTGAAAGGATACACAAACCCAGAAATAACCTTCATCCAATCATCACACCCTGGCCTTTCCATACATGTGGGCTAGACCTCATAGGTAAGATCCTTCCCCCTTCCAGAGGATACTACTTTATCATAGTGGCCATAGATTATTTCACTAAATGGGCAGAGGCTATACCCTTGCGAAGGATTTGCATAGAGAACATAGCCAACTTCCTTAGGCAGCACATCATTCATCGATTTGGGGTCCCAATGAGGATTTTGACAAACAATGGCTTATCCATCAAAAATCAAGAAGTATGTGACCTTCTAGGGCAGCATGGCACAGATTAGGGACATCGACAACCTACTACCCACAAAGAATGGACAAGTAGAAGCCACAAATAAGACCTTATTGAGGATGTTGAGTAAAACAATGGCTGATAACCAAAAGGATTGGTCAGAAAAGATGTTAGAAACCCTTTGGGCTTATCGCACCACTATTAGGAAAAGCACACAGGCATTACCTTACTCCTTAGTGTATGGCCAAGAAGTAGTGTTGCCGGCAGAAATACGGGTAGTGTTCGCTCGTATATCTTTTGCAATGGGAATAAAGATCAGACATGAGGACATAAACCACCTAGTAGCAGACAAGCTAGAAGCCATAGATGAGGACTAGGATAGGGCCCTATAGAGACAGATCAAATACAAACAAGCCCTAGCTACAAATTTCAATAGATTGTTAAGACCCAAGAACTTCAAAGAATGAGATAAGGTACTCAAGATGGTGATAAATGTTAGACAAGGCAAGTCAGCCAGAAAATTTACCCCAACATGGGAAGGGTTGTATATGATCAAAGTAGCTCATGCATCTGGCTATTATGTATTTTAGACTATAAATACAGGGGAACAGGATGAAACGATCAATGGCTACTGGTTGAAACCTTACTTTGAGTGGCACAGTTTAAGATATAATTTCATTACTGCATGTATATACTTCATAAATGAATGTATCAAGAATACTATCTCAATGTCTCTAATTTTCTACTAAGCATTCTTATGTAATTGTACTTTACTTATAAATAAATGTGAGGAATTCCTAGTACATATTCGTATGTTGCGATAAAGTTTCCTTCACAGTTTCTTCTGCGATAAAGTCCCTTCTACAGTTTCTGCAATAAAGCCTTGATGTATCCATGTATCTTGCTGGTGTGACAAATTTATAACTCCATGCTTTGAATAATACAATCCATATACTAACCTTTAGATATGTCTTCTACATATACTCTTACCTCCTGCCAACCCCAGGATTGTACTGAATTTCCCTGGCGACCCCGAGAAGGCCTTGGCAACCCCAGGTGAGTTCTTATCTCCTAGCAATCCCAGGATTGCACTGAATTTCCCCGGCAACCCTAGGTGTGTTCTTATCTCCTAGCAACCCCAGGATTGCACTAAAATTCCCCGGCAACCCCAGGAAGGCCCTGACAACCCCAGGATTGCATTGAAATTCCCTAGAAACCCCGAGAAGGCCTTGGCAACCCCAAGTGCGTTCTTACCTCCTGGCAACCCTAGGATTGCACTCAAATTCCCAGGCAACCCTGTGAAATCCCTGGCAACCCCAAGCGCACTCAATTCCCTAGCAACCCTAGGAATGCCCTGGCAACCCCAAGTGCACTCACATTCCCCAACAACCCCAGGAAAACCCCGGCAACCCCAGGCGCATTCAATTCCCCAGCAACCTCGAGAAGGCCCTAGCAACCCCAGGCACGCTCACATGCCCTAGCAATCCCAGGAAGGCCCTGACAACCCCAGGCATGCTCATATCACCTACCAACCCCAAGCTTGCACTCAAAGTCCCCGGAAACCCCGGGAAGGCCCTGGCAATCCCAAGCACACCCAAATTACCTAGCAACCCCAGGCATATACCTAAACTCCATGGCAAAATAAGCGCACTCATATCCCCAGGCAGCCTCTGGAGGTTTTTTTCAATATTTGGTATAATTCCTATCTAAGCTGATAGCCATAAATATAACCCTAGCAAGTGCACTTGTTATCAAGTAGTATAAAAATATCATTCCCACAAGGATTTAACAAAATAAGTATTAGAACTACAGCCTTCCCTAATTATTTGGATAATCGAATTTCAGATTTGAGAATAAGAACTAATGACAAAGTAGAAAAAGGAAAACAAGAGCAGAAGCAACAATGCTGAAGTGTGTAACGATTGGTTGAATTCGCTAGGGCTTTCAGTCCACCTAACCATTCCAATGAATATTAATGGATGAGATTATCCAAGATAATGTGTCATTCCCATAAGCTGAAGTCTTTCCAATTTTATTTAATATTCGCTCTCGAGATATACTAAAACTACTTCTATCAGGTAATCCCTCGATCTCTCAACTAGAGTTCTCAAGATAGAAGCGCATTAAGTCCAAAGAAAAAACTATTATATTCAGATGAATCATGTGTATATACCCCTATATACCATTCAATTCACACCATGAATTATGTGGTCAGCTATGTGAATTCCTCTCCCAATTCATTCACATACGCTTGATCAATTAAGAGATGGTCACTCCTAATAGCATTAAGCACGGTAATTCATAGACTATATGGAAATCACGATCTTGAATAAAACAGAATAAAAATATATTCATTGATATGATTAGGCTTTGCACAACCCTAACTATAGATAAATTAGTTCATACTAGCAGAAATAAAACAAACAAGAGGAAAGAAAGAACTCATGGTTTTGCCCTTGGAGTTGAGATCTCCTATTCTCCTTCTCCTTGCCGCCACCTCCTTCTTGCAGACTTCTTGCTTGATCGCTGGATTGCTCCTCTGCTTCTTGATGCTTCTCTAGTTCGCCCCCTACCCCTTCATATAGCTTAAGGGGAGGGGGTGGTCTCCTACTCTTTCTTGAAGTTAATTTCTCAAAAATAGAAAGTCTTAGTTTAATCCTACTCTTATCTCTTTATCTAATGAACTCAATCTCTTTATCTTTATGGGATTACATCATAAAATTAGATCTGATAAGACTCTTCTTAGTTTCTTGTTCTTGGATTCGTATTAGACCTCCTCTGCGAATTGGGCTGCTGACAGGCTTTTCTGCAAGTTGGGCTTCAGCTGCGGAGTGGGTCTTCCTACGGATTTGTCCTGACTACGGGCCCAGATTTGACTTCGATGCAGGCCGAATTTGCAAAAGTCCAAAACATGAAAGTTGTGGATTTTTCTCTTATCTATCCAGTGGGTCTTTAGTCAGCCCAAACAGAGTTCGGATGCACGAGTTAGGCCCAGATTACTGAACAGTGCCGAAACTGTGAAAAATCATCCGATTTGCCTTTCTTTGCTCCTGATGCATTCTTTCATGCCCTGAACCGAAATACAAGAAATATGAGTCCAATTAAGTATTAATTAAGTATGCAAGACAGAATATTTGGGGATAAAAATGTGATAAATTCTACTCTCATCAAACCCCCCCACACTTAAACCTTTGCCCATCCTCGGGCAAGACAAAACTTAAGCAAAACTAAAACGGGAAAAAAACTAACTAATTACTGAAAATTTTGAGGTTTTCCTCAATAAGATGCTTGCCCTCTCGCATGCCTTAATCCACTTCTTCCTCCATCTTAACTTTGTCAAAGAATAATCTCTAATCACCAATCCTCATGCTCCCAAGTCGAATCAACAGTCAAGGGGAGCAAGCATTTCATCGCCTGAACATTTTAGGACTAAAGTAAGCATTCATTGCTTTAACAAATTCAAACTGCTAACTGCCCTTAAAAAAAACAAGGAATGCTATTTTGCTTATGCATCACATCTCCACCACTTATCATGAGTTCAATGCATCAAAAGGTGAAATGGGGCTTATGGTTCTAGGGGTGAGTGCATTTTATGCTCCATCTCACCCTTTTCTTTTGCTTTTGGTGTGAGTGCATTTTATGCTCCATCTCACACTAGCTCTTTTTCTCTCGGTGTGAGTGCATTTTATGCTCCATCTCACACTAGTTCTCTCTCTCTTTTTTTTCGGTGTGAGTGCATTTTATGCTCCATCTCACACTAGTTATCTTTTTCTATTTATTATTATTTTTTTTGGATATCATCACCATTGTCAACCCAGTCCATGAACTCATTATCGTGGTCTCAACATGTCTAGCAAAACAAGTTCTAGAATAATCAAATAGGGGTTGCAATGAGATGCCTTCTATAGCCGAAAATTTCAGCTAGTTTTGCTTGCATCCTTTCCTGTCTATTCCACATAAGCACATGATTCATGATAGTTTGAAATTATTCAAAAACAAGTCTCTAGGGAGCAGAAATTTCAAAAGGAAAGGTTAAAAAGTGATGATCGAAGCATGCTAGAGTAAATCCAGAAATTATCAATTTCCCTTAATCCCCCCACACTTAAGGTATACATTGTCCTCAATGTATATAACTTTTCGTAAGATAGAAAGATTTAGGGGGACTTCCCTGAACGCCTTGTTGAGGTCTTTGAGGTGTGAAATCAGCTACTACACAATTAAGTTCCTAAGAGAAAAACACAATCATAAGTAGCTAAAAACAAAATGAAAAAAACTGAACTCAATGGGTTGCCTTCCACAAGCGCTCCTTTTAAGTCGTGAGCTTGACTTTCACCTTTCTTTCATGGAGGTTTCAAGGAAAGAATGGACCCGTGGTGGATGGGTTGCTCTCTTTCAATATAATGCATTAAACGCTGCCCATTTACCTTGAATGTATTTCCCTTACCATTATACAGTTCAATCGCTCCATGAGGGAATACCTTAGCCACTACAAAGGGTCCACTCCACCTGGTTTTTAACTTTCGATGTTTCCCCCTCTCATCCTTCATGGGTGGGTTTAAACCTAGAATAGGGGCCTGCACAATAGATGGRAGGAKTTTTGTGTGAGATGGAGGTAAACTAATAAAAGATGCATTATGAGTTGTAATTTCAAAAGCGTCTAGCTCAGAAGTCAAATTTCGCAGTTTTGATTTCAGTACAAACTTCTGCTCTGCTTGTTGCAATTGATTAGGACTATTGTTAAGTGCAACTTTTAGCGTGTCTTCTAATTTAGATGTATCTACTTCAGCTGCCCAAACATCAATGCAATCAATTGCATATATTTCATGYTCAATTRTGTTGGGACATTTCATGGTTTTAAATACATTAAACACCACTTCTTCACCATTGATTCTAAGAGTAAGTAGACCTTCTTTCACATCAATTAAAGCATTACCCATAGC